TCATGAATAAATGACACTTCACCATCACTTTTATTCTCTTTTTCTTTTTCCTTTTTTTTTTTTTGAGACAAAGTCTCGCTCTTGTCCCCCAGGCTGGAGTGCAATGGCCTGATAATGGCTAACTGCAACCTCCACCTCCTGGGTTCAAGTGATTCTCCTGCCTCAGCCTCCTGAGTGGCTGGGATTACAGGCGCCTGCCACCATGCTTGGCTAATTTTTGTATTTTTAGTAGACGGGATTTCAGCATGTTGGCCAGGCTGGTCTTGAACTCCTGACCTCAGGTCATTCGCCTGCCTCGGCCTCTCAAAGTGCTGGGATTACAGGCGTGAGCTACTGTGCCTTGCCTGTTCTCATTTTTTAAATCAGTAGCTTGTAGACATTGTCTGATCTTTTTATTTCTTTGTAAGGTAATTTGAAAATCCTTATTATTAATCTGGTGATTAAGAAGCCCCAAACTATTTTACTTTTCTATAAGCAGGAACATCAGAATAAACCTGTCTGTGATAAACACTCATGGGCAAATAAAAACCGTTATGGATAACCGAATGTACAAGCCTTGTCCTCAATGTGTTATCTTGTTCATAAAGTATCCTAAAATAGTTCAGCATATACTATGTGCCAGGGGCATGTTACTTAGTTTTAATTTACACCCTAAGGGTGGTTGGATAACATCTGAAGTGCCTTATTCAGGAATATATTATCCAGGAGTCTTTAGTAAGCATTTAAAAATCTGTAATGAGGTGTCCAGTTCTTTTTAGAGGGTTCAACTACTGTCTTCTCTGATGGGCACTCCAGGGTATGCTAATTAGCAAAGGGATATGAGAAATAATTTTTCACTGGTGACATGAAAGTTGCCTCAGATATATGTATCAGCAAGAAATAAGGTACATGTGCCTTCTCTGCTTCTATACCCAAGACATGAGATTGCACTGAATCCAGCAGCTGACTACCCTTGGGAGTAGAGTTTTTCTAGGGCCGTTAGCTGAGTGCAGGACTCCAAAGCCTGAAGGGGACTAGAAGCCTAGCTGAGTCCTGCCTATAGAATGCAGGTCTAAAAGGACAGAGAGCTACGACTTCCTTGAGCTTATAAGAACAGGCTGGTTAACTAAGCCTGGTTGCTAATGCATGTGTGGGTTTATGGCAGAATTCCATCAGTGAACTTGGATTCATGGTAATTTAGCTCTGGTAGGGAAGTTGCAGAGGAGGAAACCTATAGCCCTTACCTATCTCTGATGGCCAGATTGCCTTAGGTCAATTTATCCCAAATGTACACAAAGTGCTGTGATAAAACTTCTCTGTGGCTGCTCTGCATTCAACCAACATGAACCATCCCTGCAGAACTACCCCAGAAATTCAGCTGTAAGATGTTAAATGAGCATTGTTAAAAAATATTTATGGATTATTGTTTAAAACATTTATGTATAATTTATAAATTTTAGAAATAGTAGATCTTTACATCTGTTAAATTTAAAAAATGGTCACTGGTCACGCACAGTGGCTCACATCCCAGCACTTGGGGGGGCCAAGGCAGGCAGATCACAAGGTCAGGACTTCAAGATCCTGGCCTGTGTAGTGAAACCCTGTCTCTATTAAAAATACAAAAATTAGCTGGGCATGGTGGTGGGCGCCTATAATCCCAGCTACTCTGAAGGCTGTGGCATGAGAATTGCTTGAACCTGAAGGCAGAGGTTGCAGTGAGCCAAGATCATGCCACTGCACTCAGCCTGGATGACAGAGTGAGAGCCTGTCTCAAAAAAAAAAAAAAAAAAAGTAATGCAAGATCAGCCCTAATTCAATTTCTAATTGTGTGTGTGTGTCTCTAATCTATATTTATCTCTACCTCTTACCTCTTACAGATCTAATTTTCCCCAAATCAAAACAACAACAACAAAAAAAATCTTTTTTTTTTTTTTTTGGTGTTTGGTTGTTCTGGTAGACCTTATCGACTGTGGTTGCTATTATGATGGGGAAAATGTAATTAATTTTTAGACTGTACCCTTTTGTATGAAACCACTAGAAACTGTGTGTTTTGAAATGCACAGCTGTTTCTGAGCAAGGACTGCTGGAGTCCACCGGGATTACAGTTGTGACAAGCACTGTTTCCTGGGACGGCTTCCATCTCTGTCTGGGTGTCCCATAAGCCAGACTTAGAAACCTTTCCTGATTTATGGTTAGGAACACTGATCACTGTAGCCATGCCTCGTGGTCTGGAGGCTAGGGAGACTCGACCTACAGAAACAAGGAGGCTGCTTCAGGAAACTCTGAGGAGACGAAGGGTGGCGTATAAAGAAGCCTTTGTGGGCTGGGAATGACTTAGTTTTTCATGAGTAAATTCATTCATCACCTAAAATGCTCCCAGAGCTATGCAAGGTATTGAAGCAGCAACATCACAGCTCCAAAAATAAGTATGAAACAGAAGACATGGTCACTATCCTTCAGAAATGAATCGCGTGTTTGAGGAGCTAACCCAAAAGAGTTAAAAAGTGATGCAAAGCAGCATAGCAAATCAAGGACAGATGTGCCTGAACTAGACTGACCCTGTGTAAGAGAGAACCTTGAAAGTGGCTTTGATGTGGTGATTCAGGCCTAGCGGGATGAGAGCATGTGCAAATGTCCAAGCATCAGGGATGGATTCTAGTGATTCAGAACAGGCGTCTGAGAGGCCAAGACAAGAGGCTGCGTGGAGGAGTAATGAGAGGAGGGAGTGACGGTATTCTGAGGTGGAAAAAGTTGTGCCTTGCAGGGGTCAAGAAGTGTGGCCTCCGGTCCCCGTATCTCTGTGGGCACACAACTCGCTCATTCTTGCTGCACTTCCTCGCCTGCTCCTCTATAAAGTAAGGATGGACAAACTGATCTAGATGCTTTTATTTTCCAAACCCCACCTGCAGGACCAGGGGCAAGTTGTGATGACAGAGAAAAATGAGGACAAGATTGCAAGTTTTTCATAAATCTAAATTTATTAAATGTAAAAGACTGCCTTCATCTCGCAAGTGTAGCCTTTATGCTTCTCCTTGGTATTAAAATGCCTTTCATTTTATGAAATAGTGGAGACAGTGGATGGTTTTTATAAAAACTGGCCTCAGTTGGCAGAATAAATATTTGATGATATCCTCTGTGAGATCACATCCCCCAGTTTTTTTTTTTTTAAAAGTGCCAGTCAGTGAAGGACCAGGAATAAAAACTCTGGATGAGAGACTCTTAATCAGGTTGTAACACTTTGTATGAGGCTTGGCAAGTCTACATGCCCAGGATCCAGTCTAGTCTTTGTGGGCTGCCAGGCATTTTGGACCTATTTGCTCCCCTCTTTAAAAACCATTAGGTGTGAATACTTTCACACAGCCCTTCGTAAGCCGGCTGCAATCTCTGTCCACCCTTTGTAACTCCCAGTACCCTCCACTCCTGCCTCACCAGTCTTTCTCCGTTTCCCATAACTCTTCCCACCACCCTGCCTTTGCTTACGCTGATTCCTCTGTTTGGGCTGCCTTTCCTCCAGCTGCCTGGCAAAATCCTATTCCTCTAGACACCCAATGGCTAATGTTACTTTTCATTCTGATTTTTTCCGTAATCTGCCCCACTCCTTCCAAACAATGAACTGCTCCCTCTTCTCTGTTTTTGACATTTTGCACAGATTTCTATTGCCTGTATTTATGGAGTATTTACTTCTGCCATTCTGTCCTCCAGGGCTGTGACCAACGGCACCTACCTTGGTTTCTGTCCCTCAGATAGTTACTGAATTGAAAGATATCATGTTTGAGATTAATAAAAGAGAAACTGTTCGGTATAAGCCCAGTCAAATAAAGAACGAAAAGGTCACTTATACGGTCTGAATCGCTCAGATTCAAGAAGGCCCCGTCCCACCCTCAAATTCCTTCTGCACTGCCTCACTTGTGCCTCAAAGCCACCCCTAACGTCTCATTCCTTCACTTAAAGGTTACAATGTAAGAAGTTTATCAGATTCTCTCCCAAGCTCAGGCTTGATGGAAGAAAGTGGGGGAGGAGGCGCAGGCACACCGGTGGGGCCGGAAAGGAGCCACTAGGCTGCAGAGACGGCAAAAGGAGGGTCTGAGGTTACAGCCTGTCTTATTCTCAGTTATCACAGGTTGGCGGAGGTCACAGGAGACATTGATTTAAAAAGCCACCTGCCTGTGTCCTTCAACATGTTTAGGATGGGAACTGATGGGATCAGCAGGGCATAGCTAATGGTCTCACAGCCCATAGAGAGATGTCTTCCTACTTAGGAAAAGGCAGTGACTTTCAGGCGCCTGGTCCGAGGTGCCTGGAAATACTCACTGGCTGGCAGGGCGAGGGCTAGCCGACTGGGTGGAGGGCGTCTGGGGAGCTGGGATAGGGAGTGGGACCCAACCCAGGGGCTGCGAATGGAGGCGGTGCCTGCTTAGAGTGTTGGCTGGACTGGAAGAGCAGGCCGGGCAGGGGTCGGCTGCTGGGGGAGGAGTGAGGCGAGGGGAGCTGGGAGGTCAAGGCCTGAGCTTCCCTGAGCCCAGGCCGAGGGCAGGCGCACCCTGGGACGAGGCTTCTGTCTTACAGGGACCTGCTCCCTCCGTGCTCGGGCTGGGGGACCCTGCAGCCCGCCTCTACCTTGGCCCCGAGCCACTGGGGGCACTTTTCCAGACTTGCTTGGTGCCCGGACTGGGTACTTTGGGGAATCGAGGCAGGCTCCGCGGAGGTTTGCGCCGGCCGAGGGGGCAGACCCTGAGTGCGGGCGTGTGGGTGTGTGCATGAGCGTGGACCCGGAGCGACACACACTCACACACACACACTCACACGCCCGCACCCACGCAGGGCCCTCGGCCGCGCCGCCCCGGACCCTCACCCCGGAGCCCGGTCCTCCCTGACCACGGCTTCTCACTAACGCAGAGGGCATGATTCGTGGGTCTCGGACGAGGCGCCACTGTAAGGTGTTCCCACCCCCCTGGGTGGCGGCCCCCGCCCTCGCCCGCCCGCCGGGAAGGGGATGGGGATCGAGTGCCCGGGGCTCTTACCGCTCAGGCCGCCGAGTGCGCGCGGGAGTGCCCGGCGGGTCCCGCCCCGCCACGTCTGCAGGGCCGGCGGGGACGCGGCCGGAGGGCGGGCGGGGATCAGGCAGGGGGCGGGCGGCTGGAGAGGGGGCCCCGCCCCGCCTGCGCCCCGCCCCGCGGGGACCGCGGTGGGGACGCCCGGCCGCCGCCACTCTGCGGGGACCCGGGACGCGCTGGGCGAGCCTCCTTGAAACTTGGCTTGTCCCACCCCTGTGCCAGCGCGGAGAGCCAGAGCGCGCCCCCTGCCCACCCCAGGGCCGGTCTCGGGGTTCATCAGATCCCTTTCCTTTTCTTAAAAGCGCTCGGAAAACCCCCGCCGCGTCACTGCAAAGAAGTCGCTCAAGTTCAGCCAGAGTTTGAGCTCCTGATTCTGCGTTAAGCAGCAGTCCCTGGCCCGGTGGGTGGGAGTGTGATAGATTTAAGACAAACAACGAAAACCCACTTTCCAGAAGGCCAGTTTGGAACTGTGGGTCAAAACTCCGATCCATTAGCTTTGGCCTAGGAAGTCCACATTTGCTCATTTGTCCTAAGTAGGCAGTCAAATATGCAAATATGTATGTACAAGGATGTTTGCTGTAGTTGTTTCTGTGGAGTGGGGCGGGGAGGGGAGCCGGAGACAATCTGAATGTCCCCCCAGTAAGACTGGTGAAGTAAGCTACAGTACTTTCAGACATCGAATATGCTGCAGCCCTTAAAAATTAGAATTCGTTGACATGGAAGGAAGGCCACATATTAAAGCCTTCCTCAAATACGGCTTATGAACTCAAGAGAGGGGGAAGCGCAGTGTGTTTAGTATGAACTAGTGTTGTAAACATACATGTGTACATCTATTTCATATAAAGGTCGGAGAAATACAATTTAAAAAGTGATTCTTTCTGAGCGATGTATTTAAGGCAGATTTGCTCCTCCTTCTCCCACTCTACTTCCTCTTCTTTATAAAAAATTATAAACTCAAAGTTAACTAAAACAGCCTCATCCTCTCCCCTTCAATATCACTACCATTTTTTATAGTATGTGGATCCTACTGTAGTTTTCATAAGATTATATAAATACATGTATGCAGAAACAGCTTGTTTGCTTTTTTATAAAAATGGCAAGATGTTGACATATTTTGTAAATGTCCCCCTATTTATTACATATTATAATCATCTTTCTTAGTCAATACATATCAACCACAACCATTCTTCTAAGACTTGTCTTAGATATTGTAATATGTAATTGTCATTCAATCATTCTCCTATTGACAGATAATTAGGTCGTTCCTTATATTCCTCCTCCTTCTTCTCCTTCTTCTCCTTCTCCTCCCTCCCCCTCTCATTCCCCCTCCCCTTCCTCCCCGTCCTCCTCCTCCTTTCTTCTTCTGAAGTCTCACTTGGTGGCACAGGCTGGAGTGCAGTGGCCTGATCTCAGCTCACTGAAACCTCCGCCTCCTGGGTTCAAGCAATTCTCCTGCCTTAGCCTTCTGAGTAGCTGGGATTACAGGTAATTGCTACCACGCTTGGCTAATTTTTGTATTTTTTGGTAGAGACAGGATTTCATCATGTTAGCCAAGCTGGTCTCGAACTCCTGACCTCAGGTGATACACCCACCTTGGCCTCCCAAAGTGCTGGGATTACAGGCATGAGCCACCACACCTGGCCATATTTTTTATTTAATATTTTTGTTAAATATTTTTATAAATATTTAATATATATATATATATATTTTTTTTTTTTGAGACGGAGTTTCACTCATGTTACCCAGGCTGGAGTGCAATGGCACGATCTCGGCTCACCGCAACCTCCGCCTCCTGGGTTCAGGCAATTCTCCTGCCTCAGCCTCCTGAGTAGCTGGGATTACAGGCACGTGCCACCATGCCCAGCTAATTTTTTGTATTTTTAGTAGAGACGGGGTTTCACCATGTTGACCAGGATGGTCTCGATCTCTTGACCTCGTGATCCACCCGCCTCGGCCTCCCAAAGTGCTGGGATTACAGGCTTGAGCCACCATGCCCGGCCCTAAATATAAATTTTTATAATAAATTTTAAGCTACCAAATATTTGTTATTTATTTATTTTTTTAGGGGGACAGAGTCTTGCTCTGTGGCATAGGCTGCAGTGCAGTGATGCCATCTCCATCTCCCGGGTTCAAGTGATTCTCCTGCCCCAGCCTCCCAAGTAGCTGGATTACAGGCACCTGCCACCACGCCTGGCTAATTTTTGTGTTCTTAGTAGAGATGGGGTTTTGCCATGTTGGCCAGGCTGTTCTCGAACTCTGACCTCAAGTGATCTGCCCACCTCAGCCTCCCAAAGTGTTGTGATTACATGCGTGAGCCACCACACCCAGCCTGTTATTTTTAAAGTCATAGAAAAACTGGAAAGTTATCTTAATGTGAGAGTGGGTAGAAACTGCTTTAAATCGAGATCAACAGCCTTTTTGAATTGAGCAAGACTTTGAACCTTAACTAACACTTGGCTTCTGTACCTCAGTTTTTCCACCTGTAAAATAGAGAGCATTGCTCTGCACTATCCCTTCCAGTTCTCGCTTTGTGAGTGTTATCAAATTACGTTCCAGATGAACAGGTGTGTTCTGGTGTAGCGTATACGCAAACGTCTGTGTCTTGGACTTCTGCCTGCGCAGAGACAGCAAGCACCTTTGCTAACCTGCCTTCCCTGCCCTGCTGAGCAGTAACAGCCCAATCAGACATTCCCTTTTTAAAGGGCTGAGTTCCTTTTGTCCTTTGACCCAAACCACACCTATCCAATAAAGAAAATAAACCAAGCTATCCCGGCAACAAGTTTGTTTTTAGTTTTGCCAATTGCAAATTTTGCCCTTTTACTCATGTAGCTGCTTCCAGGCCTACCAGATTTTATTTCAGACATTTTACTTTTTTGCCTTATAAAGTTTTTCAGTTCATTAAAAAAACTCTGGAGTATTTAAAACATGTGGAAAAGTAAAGAATAATATGACAAATACTTATTTGTGTAAAAAATATAGCGAATATTGTGATGATGCCTAGATTTAACAAAATTTTTTTGCAGTATTTATTTTAGACCTTCCTTTTCAAAGAAAATACTGTTACAGATATGTCTGAAACCCTGTCCCTTCCATTCTCTGCCATCTCTGCAGGCAGCCATTGTCTTGAGGCTGTTGGATATCCCTCCCACCCATATTTCTTTCTTTCTTTTTTTAGGGATAAGATCTTATTCTGCCACCCAGGCTGGAGTGCAGTGGTGTGATCACTGCTCAGTGCAGCCCCAAACTCCTGGACTCAAGCAATCCTCATGCCTTAGCCTCACAAGGAGCTATAACCACAGGGTGCCGCTGCACCCAGCTGATTTTTAAATTTTTTGTAGGGTCATGGTCTTGCTGTGTTGACCAGGCTGGCCTCTAATTCCTGGCTTCAAGCAGTGCTCCCAAAGTGCTGGGATTCCAGGCAAAGTGCTAGGATTCAGCCTCCCAAAGTGCTGGGATTACAGGTGTGAGCCACCATGCACAGCCCCATCCCACTCATATTTCTGCACATTTACTGCATATGTCTTCACCTATAATTGCATATATAGTTGTTTTTCAACGTTTTAGAATATTAAGAACATCCTGTACACTTGTTAACTTGCATTATATTTTTGAGAATCATTCATATTCGTACATGTAGCTCTAGCACATGATTTCAAAGTCTTCATAGGATTGTATAAATGTGCCACAATTTATTTTCCTGATTGAGATACTTTTTTTTTTTGGGGGGGGGACAGAGTCTGGCTCTGTTGCCCAGGCTGGAGTGCAATGGTGTGATCTTGGCTCACTGCAGCCACCACCTCCCAGGTTCAAGCAATTCTCCTGCTGTAGCCTCCCAAGTAGCTGGGATTACAGGTGCCTGTTACCATGCCTGGCTAATTTTTGTATTTTTAATAGAGGCGGGGTTTCACCGTGTTGGCCAAGCTGGTCTGAAACTCCTGACCTCAGGTGATCTGCCCACCTCGGCCTCCCAAAGGGCTGGGATTACAGGCATGAGCCACTGCACCTGGGACCCTCATTGATATACTTTAATGTGTTTCATATTTCACACAATTACATGTAATGCTACAATTACCATTTTGAATATATTTTCTAGTATCCCAGGCTAGAAATGGAATAGCTGGTTCCCCTTTACTAGACATTGCTGAATTGGCCTTCATTATGGGTCTACCATTTATTCAACACAACTTTTCTGAAAGCATACGCTATGTACCAAATACTGCTGTAGTGTTCAGAATACAAAAAGAGCAAAGCAAACTCCTGGTTCTCAAGAACTTACACTCCATAGAAAGGGAGATAGACCCTAACTAGATCACATATGAGGTGGTGGAGTAAAGCAGGCTATAGAATCTACAGGGTCTAGTTCAGGGAATGATGGGTGGGACCAACTGTGGTCAAGTAAGTCCTTACTGGTAAAGCAACATTGCAATGCAGACCTGAAGGAAGAGATGAACAGTGGCCATATCTGTAGACAGTCTCAGGCAGGGGGCACTACAGGAGCAGTTTGGGAACAAGGATGATGCATTCACAGAAAGGCAAGGTAGCCAGTGTGTCTGGAGCAGAGCAAGAACAGGGGAGAGTAGGACATGAGGTCATAGACGTAGCAGAGCCTGAGAGCTGGGCAGACCAAGCAGTGCCTTGCAAACCACAGTAGGCATTTTGGTTTATATTTTGAGTGAGATGGGCATTCTCATGGCTTTTGAGTATGACTCTAGCATCTGACTCTAGTCATACTGGGATCGCATGAAGGAGGGAGGGGAAAAGATGGAGGCTGGGATACCAGTTAGGAGGCTATTGCAGTTATCCATGTGAGAGACAAAGATGCCTTTGACCACCTTGGGAGTGGTGGAGGACATGAGAAGCGTTCGCTTATGGACATATTTCAAAACAAAAAATCTAGCCAATTTGGCCTATGGGTTGGATGTAGAGTTTGAGCAAAAGAGAAAGTAGTCATTAATTACTCCAAGGATTTTAGTCTGAGTCACCGGAAGAGAAGAAATATTATGTATTGATATGAGGAAGGAAGCAAGAAGGGCAGGTTTGGAGTTAGAGACAGTAAAGATTCA